TCTAAAGGGGAGATAATTCATGTATGACTAAAATGGGACCTAAAGCCCTACGTTTCTGCTCCGACTGGGCCAATGAAGACAGACATACTCCATATGAGGGGAATTTTGCCCAGAAAGCGGCGCTACAGCCTATATCGAATTTCAACTGTCAAGGGATCTTTTATGCACACACCAATGTGTACAAAGGACCTCAGTATTTTGTGCCATCCGAACGACTATTCGTTGGTCCTTTCCAAGCCCTCTGTCCTGATTACAGCCCTGATTAGCATCAAACATCCTATGCAGGTTTACACTTTGTTACGATTTTGAAATTATGTAATTTACTGACTAAAAAAATCAGTAATCTTGAACAGTAGCCTGCACCGTAAACAGATCGGCATTATCAACCTTTGATCAGACCAAAATTAGCAAACTGTATCAGATTTCCTAACTTCTGATCAAAAGTTGACAAGTGTCGAGACTTCCATATATGAATATAAAAAGTTAACTAAGGTATTAGATATACGAATATAAAAAATGTAACATACACAAGCCTGGGGCCTGTTTCACGAAATTTTAACTAAGATAAAATTCAAATTTTAGTAATTTGATTGGATAATAATAGATTGATTTTAGTGCTTAGCCAATCAAAATTGAAGTATCTACTAAAATTTGGATCCTATCTTTAGTTAATATTTCGAGAAACAGGGCCCTGGACACAAGACACTTAATTTGTGCCTGACAAAGTCCATGATAGGTGCCCAGACTTGAACATAACATGCTTACATTGTTTTAAAATATCGTAAAGCTAACAAAAAAATCCCTAAATCTTAAAACCAACTTCTTAGATAAGATGATATAATATAAATTTAGAACAATTTACAAGGACAGTAAAACGAACGTCTTAGATATGATGATATAATATAAATTTAGAACAATTTACAAGGACAGTATTTTTGTCGTTTTCTTTTTTTTATATAGCATCAAGCTACCAAAGAGACATTTATAATATATAATATAAATAATATTAAAATAGACAGTTTGTGTAAAATATGTGAGCTAATTATTGTATGGTGATCCCAGATTTCACAGCTATCAACACTCTGAATAAAATACAAATACTATTTCGTTTCGTTTTTTATATTTCAAAATTTAGTTTTACTTGTTTTTACTACACTTGGATCTGGAAGAGTCGTTATCTTTGACGTGTTCTGAATGGTGTGAGGAATTAGCCAATGAAAGGTCTGTTACGACGAGCTTTAGGCGTGTTTTGCACGGAACTGTGGGTAATCCACTAGTAACATCATTGGTTAATCAATTGTCTGACGTCATAGGGTCAAAGCCGCTCGAATGACTTCTGAAGCGACCTATCGCTACAACCGGTCAGATCTTCATGTAGTGTAGATCATAGATATCCTATAAAGACTAGATAGGCCATAAAGCCAAGTGCGTGTCATCAGTAGCTAATAGCCATCGAAAGAATAAAATTAACGAAACGAAATATAGATCTGAATTTTAATCAGATGGTGTTATCAAATAATTCTTAGATGTAATCTGATCTGAATTACGCAATTATAAATATCAACAAACATCATCCTTGATAAACACAAGAAGAGAGAAAGGTGGAGTCGTGGCTTCGTAGTTTTTATCAATCGATAAGATACGTACGTGTATTCTTAGACAATACGAAAAAAATGAGATTTCTTCCAAAAAAGAAAAAAGGAGAGAAAAAACAAGAATATCAAAAATATTTCAAATTTTCCACCGGATCACAAATCAGGTTTCAGGAATCATCTTTGATTGTAAAAACCATAGAATTACGTAAATAAATTCAGCCAGTTTCCATTGCTCTTATTATTGCTAATTGTTCAAGTTAAAACAGACTTAATCCGTCTCTTTAACATAGACAATTTCAAAATTTGAAACTGTCGAGAGGTGGAAATTTCCAGATCAATTTTCTCAGCGTTTATTGCTTTAAGGCTGTGGTATAAAAAATAAGAAACAGGGGGATAGGGTACAGATCAAAAATAAAATCAGAGAACATTTAATAACCATTGTTATAAGTTAAGCTGTCATTGGTTTCTTTTTCACTTCTTTTTTTCTTGTATTCTTGAGAAATATTTTATTTTTTTTTTCGTCTGTAAGTTGTTATTCTCCCTGGCTTGTTGTAGTCACAGTTGATTTCATAATAACTCACGTTAACAGATTACTAAAAAACAAAATAATTCAGCCTAAAATTAACATTTGCTTTCTGTATCAACTAGGCTAATTTTCGTTGCGTCTGAAGGACTAGACACTTTGCCTTGCCAAGCCCTCGATATAAGTGTAGGCCGTAGTGCTGCTGTCTGGGCAGGATTTCCCTCATAGCACACTGTATGCCCATCTTCAATAGCCCAGTCGAGGCAGAACAGTAGGACGTTAAACCCCATTTCATTTCATTTTCCTTTAACAGAACATTATGTAAGATTGAGATAAAGAGTTAGCCGTTCTTACTATAATATTTCAAAAATGTAAAATGAATATTTTGAAAATTTCATTAAAATGACTTTAATTTGAGCAAAGTTGTTAATGGTTGTGGCTTTGACAGCATATGTACATTGATCGTAACTACCGTACTGGTCATTCAAAGTCTCCATTTTTAAATTAAATCATTAAATGACGAAACCGTTCTAATCTACTTAAATCGGAGGCATCCGATGGCATCAAGTATTGATTATGGTTTTGTCATGTTAATAAATGTTGTTGTTGTTTTAGTGTTTAACGTCCGCTCCCACCGAAGGTGATATCGCAGACAAGTTGTCTTTTTTTTATTTTCGTTATCTTAGCGCAAGCGTAAGGGTCTTTCCTGTGGGAGGAAACCGGAGTACCCTGAGTAAACCCACGAGGCTGAGAAGGCGCCGCCCCTATCTCCAAGCCACATACGCTCACACCAGGGATCGAAAGCACAACCGCAAGCCAGAGGTGACCGGTCAGCTCGAGGTCGAAGCGTGACACTCTAGACCACTAGGCCATCCCAACCCCCCGTTAATTAATGTCTAATTAATAGTTTATATAGCATTTAAGGCCTATGGAAAGACCTGCAATAGGCAGATTTAGCTCTTAAGTAATAATCTTTAAGTGGCATTTTTATGGGAAACAATCACTGATTTTATTCTAAAAGCACGACATTTCGACAAGTATCCTCTTGTCGTTATCAAGCACAATGACAAGAGGATAACGACAAGAGGATACTTGTCAAAACGTCGTGCTTTTAGAATAAAACCAGTGATTGTTTCCCATTAAAAATTGTGTTCTCTTGCATAATGTATGTTTTATGACTTACCTGTTTTTTTAATAATGAATCATCCTCTTTAAAATCTGGAGGTGTTTTTCGAGAATATTTCAGATTTAATTCATCTCCTAATTGATTTAAAATATCAAGAGTCTTATCTAACATTTCTTTCGTGTGGGCGGCAGACATACACAATCTAACACGACCTTCAATAACAGGTGTAGCTGGGAAACCTACCACCACTACACCCAATCCCCTCTCTAGAGCTTTCCGTGATATTGAACTGTAAAAAAACAAAAACAAATATAGGTATTGTTGTAAATAATGTATTTTGTATAATGTAGTTGTTGTTTTCAATATTTTGTCTACTTTAAATAAAAGCTCTACTTTAAAATAAAAAAAAAAATAAAAAAAAAAAATCTCTACTTAAAAAAAAAAAAAGCTCTCAAAGTCTGGACCTGGTGAGGGATTTGATGAATAAGAAGAGTAATCATAATAAGGGGAGCGCACATTCATAAGACAGTTGTTGTTCGTGGTGTTTAACATCCGCTTCCACTCAAGGTGATATCGCAGACATCTTTATTTTAATTATTTTAGCACAAGAGCAGGATATATGTTGACCTTTATTCATTAAATATTTCTGGTTGCATGTAGCCTTTATTTATTAAATATTTCTGGATGTGCGCTAGTCATTATCTATCAAATATTTCTGTGTGCGCTAGCCATCATCTATCGAATAATTCTGGAGGTGTGCTAGCCTTTATTTATAAAATAATTCTAGTTGTGTGCTAGCCTCTATCAAATAATTCTGGAGGTGTGCTAGCCTTTATTTATAAAAGAAATCTAGTTGTGTTCTAGAATTTATTTATAAATAATTCTGGTTGTGTGCTAGCCATTACTAATTATGGTTGTATGCTAGACATTTTTTATCAAATAATTGTGGTTTTGTGTTAGCAATTATTTATCAAATAATTCTGGTTGTGTGCTAGCTTATTCTGGTTGTGTGCTAGATTATTCTGGTAGTGTGCTAGCATATTCTGGGTTGTGTGCTAGCTTATCCTGGTTGTGTGCTAGCCCTTTATTGATAAAATAAAAGAACGGCTACTTACGCTAGTTTAGTTGGATAAAAAACTATAAAAGGCACGACAGGTGAGTCTTTATTTCCATACACTATAAAACCCATCTCTTGTAAACGACGTCTCATATACTGTGTATTCCACGCTAGTTGATTAATACGCTCAATACCTATAATAGACATTATACATGTACCATTTATACGCTCAATACCTATAATAGATATTATATCATTTGTTATGTTAAATGAAATGAAATGGGGTTTAACGTCCTACTGTTTTGCTCCTAAACTGGGCTAATGAAGACGGGCATACGCCATACAGTGTGCTATGAGGGAAATTTTGCCCGGGCAGCGGCGCTACGGCCTACTCTTATATCGAATTCCAAATGCCAAGGGATCGTTTACGTGCACGCCAATTTATACACGGAACCTCGGTTTTTCGTCCCATCCGAACAACTAGACAGCTGTCCTTGACAGGCCCTCCGTCCTGCATCACTGACAATGGGGAAACCAAGCCGGAAAATCTGGATAAACTTTATCGGCCAATGCAGGGATCGAACACCCGACCTCCAGGCTAGTGAGCCAACATCTTACCCACTTAGCCACGTGATCCACAAGTATTCTAAGCTAGTTGATTTATTCGCTCAATACCTATAATAGATATTATACCTTTTGTTATTCTAAAACAAGTATGATCGTATTCCAAGCTAATTTATTTATACGCTCAATACCTAAATTAGACATTATTGCATTCGTTATTCGAAAACAAAATAACTAAAATAAGTATTCCACGCTAGTTGATATATATGCTCAATACTTATAATACACATTATGCCTTTCGTTATTCTAAAACAAAATAACTATTATGGGTAACATTTAAATCCATGGCAAATCAAAACTTGTTTCGTCGAACAAACGAAAACTAAGCAAAACTGACCTGGCTCACGTCATATGGATCGCGAAAGATATTAGTCAACAGAATAGATCTTGATAGACTTTGTGCCACCCCAAATGTCAGAATATTGTCCGACCATACTATAGACCAGGAAGTGACCATGTTGTTGGATGAAATTCAAAAAATCTAATTCACCAAATCAATGCAGGATTGTTCAAAGAACAAGCATGCCAATTGTCATGTTGATGGAGCCTTAGGCTTTTTCAAAGAGCGTCAACCCAAGAAGAAGAACAAGTTGAGTAGCGGTTAGTGACCAGTTCCTAGTCCAACAAAACAACTATCATGTTTGGTCGAGTGGTCAAACCTGTGTGTGTGATGAGATAGTTATCCTTAGATTACTTGAAAGGGGGGTTGGATGGCTGAATGGTTAGCGTGCGCGCGCTGTATCATAAAGTCTGTCATTGAGTCGACTGGCGTGGTTTCGAATCCCCAGTTGTACGTGGCAAGGAGTAGGGTCGCCTGTCCAACCTCGTGGGTTTTCTCCGGGGCCTCCGGTTTCCTCCCACTGCTAAAGACCCCTATGCGCAAGCAAATTATGTAAATAAAATTAAACCATATGTTAGTCCCGAAAGGACCTAGTTTGTGTCGAGTGGACGTTAAACCCCATTTCTCTCTCTCTCTTAGATTACTGGAAGTGTCAGAATAGACTAAACAAAACTCTATAGTATATGAAAAATCAAAAATTTGCGCCAGGGATAACCCCTAGGGGAGATGGTTCAATTTTATTTCAATAATTGGCTTGTGCTTAGGGTTGTTTTAGCAGTGGGAGGAAACCGGAGACCTGGAGAAAACTCACGAGGTTAGACCGGCGACTCCACTCTCTGTCACGTACAAGCGAGGAATGATAGACCTTACGATGTAACGCACATGTGTTAACTATTTAACCACATAACCCCCGACCCAAGGAACAAGTTCAATTTTATTTCAATAATCCACTTGCGATGGCCTACACTAAATGACGCTTCTAGTGGTTTACCCAAAGTTCTGTGCAACTAACGCCAAAAAGTAGCCGTAACAGACCGTTTCATTGGCTAATCCCTCACATCATCCAGAACGCGGGTTATATAAAAACTCTTCCAGATCCTAGTGTAGTAAAGACAAGTAAAACGAAAGTTTGAACTATAAAAAACGAAACGATCTGTGTTTTAATCAGATATTTTTCAGTCACCTGTCCGTTTACTTACCTTTTTTGGTTCCATCAATTCCTGATATAATATCTATAACTGATATAACCTGTTTAGCTATAGGTGGCGGCACTGCTGCTGAATAAATGGAACTGTGGGAATGAAGGCGAAAATGGCGAATCAGAGCCTGCAACAAGAAACAAACTTTATCACCAATACCAAAAGTCGTACCTGACATTTCTAACTTTGTGAATTTGTCCTAGCACGATATATCGTTGAATCAATGTATCATGATTCACCTTGTCGCGATTCACATATTAAATTGCGAGCCTCTGAATCAATCTTTTATGATTCATTTTTTTTTTTTTTTTTAATTTTTATTTTGTCACTTCAGTAACTAATGCATCCCTCTTAATTAAATACCCTTAAATTGTTTAGGTCCTTATTTTGATCGATATGAATATCGTGATATAAAACAGTTTTATTTCTTTGACTTCGGCAGGACTAGAAACTCTCACCATAAAAATATCAATTATTCATTTATCTTGTTGGAAAAACAGTTACAAAGCGAATTTTGGCCAAGCTGCAGCACTATGCCCTACTCTTATATCGAATTCCAATTGCTAATGTGTACACCGGACCTTGGTTTTTCGTTCCATCCAAACGACTAGACAGCTGTCCTTGTCAGGCCCTCCATCCTGCGTCATTGACAAGGGGGGAACCACGCCGGAAAGTCTGGATGAACTTTCTCGACCAATGCAGGGATCGAACACCCTACCTCCAGGCTATATTATGTTTAGGATATCCGCGTTGCAAGATGGATCTTTTGACCACAGATGTTTTGGATAATGACAAAATATAGACCTACCTTACTACCTGCTAAGTATCCCCCAGCAGCTCCAAAACTTTTTGTAAACGTTCCCATCATAATATCAACTTCATTAGGATCGATACCAAAATAATCTGTAACACCTCGACCATGTGGACCAAGAGCTCCGATACTGTGAGCTTCATCTAAATATACGTAAGCTTTATACTTCTTCTTTAGTAGTAGAATTTCTGGTAGACGAACAATTGACCCTTCCATACTGGAATAATAACAATAATGAATATATTAATAAATACCATTTCCCCATCCACATAACTAATCACTCTCCTTAATATCACATCACTCTCCTTAATTTCTAAAATACTCTTATCAAAACTGGGAGAGTTTTTTTGAGGGGAGAGATTTTTTCAATTCGTAGATTGATGGTTTCAATTCCCCAGCTGTATGTGACAAGAAGTTAGGTCACCTGTTCAACCTCGTTGGTTTTCTCCAGGTCCTCCGATTTCCTCCCGTTTCTAAACACCCCTTCGCGCAAGCTAATTATTGAAATAAAAGTGAACCAAATATTAGTCCCGAAGTGACCTAGTTTATGTCGAGTGGATGTTAAATCCCCATTTTTCTATCTTTCTCTTTATGCAAATGAAATGCGGTTAAACGTCCTACTGTTCTACTCTGAATGGGCTAAGGAAGACGGGCATATGCCATGCAGAGTGCTATGGGGGGAAATTTTGTCCGGACAGCGGCGCTATGGCCTACTCTTATATCAAATTCCAACTGTCAAGGGATCTTTTACATGCATGCCAATGTGTACACACGACCTTGGTTTTTTGTCCCATCCAAACGACTATACATTGTCCATTGCCAGGCCCTCCACCATCCAAATGACTATACTTTGTCCCTTGCTAGGCCCTCCGTCCTACACCACTGACAAGGGGGAAGCACGTCAGAAAATTCTGAACTGATGAACTTTCTCGGCCATCATGGCAAGCTAACGCCCGACTGATCAAGCCACCGTGAGTGACTCCCTAACGCGATTGAACATGAGACTTCCTGAATAGTTAGCCAGGATCACTGAGGCTATGTCTAACAAAATAACAAAATGAAATGGGGTTTAACGTCCTACTGTTCTGCTCCTATGCTGGGCTAATGAAGACGGGCATACGCCATACAGTGTGCTATGAGGGAAATTTTGCCCGGGCAGCAGCACTATCGCCTACTCTTATATCGAATTCCAACTGCCATTTCAATGTACAGTAGAATCTGCATTAAGCAGCCACCCAAGGGAATTTTCACAACTGACCGCTTAACGGGAGTTGCCTCTTAATAAAATCTCGTTGCTTTTTGTGCCGACATAAATTAAATATTACGCTTGGATGCATTGGAAGCGGTAAATTTGGCCGTCGCTGAATCTTGTGCAGAACGAAAATTCTTTAGTCAAATCTCGAACATAACTTAACGGGAGTGACCTCATAATAAAATCTCGTTGCTTTTTGTGCCGACATAAATTAAATATTACGCTTGGATGCATTGGAAGCGGTAAATTTGGCCGTCGCTGAATCTTGCGCCGAACGAAAATTCTTTACTCAAATCTCGGACATAACTTAACGGGAGTGGCCTCTTAATAAAATCTTGTTGCTTTTTGTGCCGCCATAAATTAAATATTACGCATGGATGCATTGGAAGCGGTAAATTTGGCCGTCGCTGAATCTTGCGCCGAATGAAAATTCTTTACTCAAATCTCGGACATAACTTCTGCAAACTTGTCATTTTGTACCAACCTTCGATACTACTGTCTACCATTGTGATGCATTCGATAATATTTATCCATTTTTGTGAAGAAAATCGATGAATTCATTTTATTTTATCAAAAAAGCACATGAACAAAAAACATCGCTAATTTTATCACCTATTTACAGGGGGTGTAACTCTGTATGTAATGTTATAGGAGGCGCTAAGAGAGATACTAGATGATCGTGACAAAACTCGGTACTTTTATTATATTCAATCAGTATCAAATAATGTGTCGTTACGCGTGAAAACAATGATCAGGTTAGTCGTTAAATAAAACAAAAGATTAATTAACAGATAATCCCGGGTTGATTGTTATTTTTACATTTCTTTTTACCTGATCAGTGGGGGTCCAGTTAATTAACTACTACTCACGGGATTAGCGGGGGTGTTACAAAGAACGACAAGATGGTATCATTCAACAATGGCCGTTGAATGGGCGATGCTTTGTTGAATTTATTAGTAAAATAGTGACCGCTGGCCGCGTTAGAGGAGTGAACGTTGAATAAAGAGATGAAACAACAGAATTTCTACGGGGGGAATTTATCGTGACCGCTTACAAGGAGATGTTGCTGAATAGGAGTGGCTGCTCATACAGATTCTACTGTATATACGGGACCTCGGTTTTTCGTATCATCCGATGGACTAGACAGCTGTCACAAAAAAACAAAATAGTTTCTCACCTATAAACACCTTCAACTACTATCAATATTTTCTTCCATGGTCGATGATTTCGTGGACGACCCTCAATTAGTGCAGCTTTTAACTTTTTCTCCAGATCTACCATGTCTGAAATGAAATGAAATGAAACGAGATTTAACTTCCTACTGTTCTGCTCCAAACTGGGCTAATGAGAGAGAGAGAGATGGGTTTTAACGTCGAGAGAGAGAGAGAGAGAGAGAGAGAGAAATGGGGTTTAACGTCCACTTGACACAAACTAGGTCATTTCGGGACTAACATAAGGTTTAATTTTATTTCAATAATTCGCTTGCGCGTAGGGGTCTTTAGCAGTGGGAGGAAACCGGAGGACCCGGAGAAAACCCACGAGATTGGACAGGCGACCCTACTCCTCGTCACGTACAACCGGGGAATCGAAACCACGCCAGTTGACTCAATGACTGACTTTATGGTACAGCGCGCACGTGCTAACCATTCAGCCATCCAACCCCCCCTGGGCTAATGAAGACAGGCATACGTCGTACAGTGTACTATGAGGGAAATTTTGTCCAGACAGCGACAGTAAGGCCTACTCTTATATCAAATTTCAACTGTCAAGGGATCTTTTAGGTGCACACCAATGTGTACACGGAACCTTGGTTTTTCGTACCATCCGAACGACTAGACAGCTGTCCTTGTCAGGCCCTCTGTCCTGCATCACTAACAAGGGAACCAGGCCTTACCCACTTAACCACCGTGAACCCCTCTACCATATCTAATAGTAGATAATAATAATAAACACTATTATAACATAGTTATTTCTATCAATCTGAATAAAACACAGATCCTATTTCGTTTCGTTTTTTATAGTTCTAAATTTCTTTTTACTTGTCTTTACTACACTAGGATCTGGAAGAGTTGTTATATATAAGAGTGAGAAATTGGGTTTAACGTCCACTCGACACAAACTAGGTCATTTCTGGACTAACATATGGTTCAATTTTATTTCAATAATTCGCTTGCGTGTAGGGGTCTTTAGCAGTGGGAGAAACCGGAGAAAACCCACGAGGTTGGGCAGACGACCCAACACCTTGTCCTGTACAACCCAGGAATCGAAACTACGCCAGTTGACTCAATGACAGACCTTATAATACAGCGCGTACACGCTAACCATTCAGCCACCTAACCCACCAAGTTGTTATATAACCCGCATTCTAGTTGATGTGAGGGATTAGCCAATGAAACGATCTGTTGCAGCAAGTTTTTGGCGTGCGATGTACAGAACACGGGGCATTCTAAGAGAAACATCAATGCTAATCGCTTAATCAAATGTCTGATGTCATAAGGTCAAATACCGCACGTATGACCACTGACACGACCTAACACTACAACTGGTCAGATCTTCATGTAGTCGAGGCCATCAAAAGTATAAAAAAAATGAAACGCAATATTGGTAAAAAGATGTTCTCTTACAACCTGTGATGTTACATTTTCCTGAATGGAACATAATCCAATAACACACTATTTCACAAGTTGTTATCAAGCATATAATACAAATTTATCAAGCATATAATACAAATTTATCAAGCATATAACACAAATTTATCAAGCATATAACACAAATAAAATGTGTCGCAGTGAAATAAACCATTGTAATAATTATCCATAAACAGTGTGTTATTTGAATGTGTCATGGTTCAATTAAGTCTTTATATACGGCATTACACGCTGAAGCATCTTGATAAAAAAGTAAACTTACTATTATGTTTAAAAACTTACTATTATGTAGGGGAATAGAATAAAAAGTAAACTTACTATTATGTTTAAAAACTCTGATTGTAGAACCTGTTAATCTGGAACCAAGAACTAGCGATGCGTGATTTAATTCATCACTTAATAATAAACAACCCTGAAATACACAAAAACAAGCTTAAAGGCACTGAAAAATTAGATACAGAGATAAGATATTGGCTGGCAACCCCTTTATGCCAGCATTAATTTTCGTTGTTCTGCCGGACAATTCGACGCAGGGTTATTGTCATCCAAAAGAGAGAGAGAGAGAGAGGGAGAGTAGGTCATTTTGGGACTAACATATATATGGTTCAATTTTAATTTAATAATTCGCTTGCACGTAGGGGTCTTTAGCAGTGGGAGGAAACCAGTAGACCCGAAGAAAACACACGAGGTAGGACAAGCGACCCTACTCCTAATCACGTTCAACCGGGGAATCGAAACCACGACAGTTGATTCAATGACAAACCTTATGATACAATGCACATGCATTAACCATTTGGCCAACCACCCCCCCCCCCCTCCCACCCCCCTCTCCGTAAAGCAAGAGACAATAAAAATATTCAATAGCAATATGATTGGGTATGCATAATTATGGTAATGGGATTTAAAATAAAACACACAGAAAAAAATTATTATCATTCTAATATAAAAGATTTTTATTTTACCTTTCCAACTAAGCATGGCATATTCATGGAATTAGTTGCAAATCCCATAGGAAAAGTGATGGCATCTTCAACTCCCAAAAACTTGGCCACTTTTCTATCTAATTCTTGATGTACTGTTGTATAACCTAAATTAATAATGATAATAATCTGCTAGACAATTCCAATCACTGACTAACTCTAACACTCTAACTCACTATTGGCTTTCTTAGAGTCATATTACGGACAAAAGTTCATCCCGATTTTCCGGCGTGATTCCCCCTTGTCAGTGATGCAGGACGGAGGGCCTGACAAGGACAGCTGTCTAGTCATTCGGATGAGATGAAAAACCGAGGTCCCGTGTACACATTGGCGTGCACGTAAAAGATCCCTTGACAGTTGGAATTCGATATAAGAGTAGGCCGTAGTGCCGCTGTCCGGGCAAAATTTCCCTCATAGCACACTGTATGGCGTATGCCCGTCTTCATTAGCCCAGTTAGGAGCAAAACAGTAGGACGTTAAACCCCATTTCATTTCATTTCATTTCATATTACGGACATATATATATATATATATATATATATCATTATTAACCCGTTAAGTGCGTAGGTTGTTATATAACGTCCTGGACAACTGCCACTCACTGTGTGTAGGGCGTAATATAACGCGTTGGAGGTATTTTTCCCAAACTATTCTTAGAACATAGTTCGTCACTTGGGGGAATTTGTAATATAACGTCCTACACATGCTGCGATCGTGGGGGAATTCCCAAGGGATTCCCCCGTGATCGCAGCATGTGTAGGACTATATTACGTCCTGGACAACTGCCACAAACTGTGTTTAGGGCTTAATATAACGCCTTGGAGGTATTTTCCCCAACCTATTCTTAGAACATAGTACATAGTTCTTTGTCACTTCGTCAAAATAATTACACAATAGGGGGTAGTTAACGTTTTAAAAACGTCACGCTTAACGGGTTAATATGTTGTTTTTTCCACATATTATTCAAGTGTGTAATTTGAATGCAACTTAATTTCCAGCACGACTTGCTTTATAACCAGACTGTCTTAAGCTCGAGACCATTGAACAACTTAAAACACACTTGCACGTGCTTTGCAATGCAATACATCACGCAGGTCCAATATTTCAAATAGTATAAATAATGTACGCTTGGTACATTGCCCGTACCATTATTTGAAATAATGGTACACCAACATGAAAGGATGAGGTGACATCTCTATTTTAAATAGATTTATAATGGGCTTTATTCATTCATCAATACCACCTTCATATCCCTCTCTCCTTGCACACCCTAGATATCATGCTTCTCCGATCACCTGTGTATTCACAGCACACACCTAAACTAACATGCACTCACTGTCATTCTCTCACGCACAACTAGCAGACGACATGGTTAACAATAGGATTAGACAAAAATATAAGGAGAAGACATCTTGTAACTAATAGTAAGTGGAGGAGGACGGCACTACACACAAAACAAAAATCTACACGATAAACCTGCGGGCAAGACAGGATATAAACATTGAACCAAATAAACAAATATCAAATCAAGTGAATGGATCCGGGCGGCCAACCGTAGGCTTTAGACATGAGTATTTTAAAAGAATGTAAAATAAATGAAATCTACCTAATTCCTGCCGACTGTTACTGACAGATAACGACGTCTCTCTAACACACTGTTCTGCTGAATCTGCACAGGGTCCGCTTGTTTCAGAGAAACCCAAATAATTATATGAACCAAAGTTCATAACATGATATTTTTTTTCTGTCAGCCTGTAGAAAAAAACAAAAACTTTATTATAATACTCAAGTTCGGATTACAACTTTGCTGTTACATAAAAATAAACTGACTTCAAACATCGAAATAAATTCCTTTGCATGTCCAAATGAAAATGAAATGAGGTTCAACGACCTGTTTTGCTCCGAACTGGGCTAATGAATACAGTGGGCTATGAGGGAATTTTACCCAGACAGCGGCACTACGACCTACTCTTATATCGAATTCCAACTGTCAAGGGATCTTTTACGTGCACGCCAATGTGTACGCAGTACCTTTTTTGCGTATGCACGTCTTCATTAGCCAGGGAGCAGAACAGTACCACGTTAAACCCCCATTTCATTTCATGTAAGAATGTTGCATGTTAATAATTTAAGGGGCATTATGGGAGATTCAAGAGTTGACAGTTCTCGCTATAATAGTTAAAAAATAGATAACGTAAAGAGATTATGCTGGGATTCAAAACCATGCCAGTTGACTCAATAACAGGCCTTATGATACAGTGCGCACATGCTAACCATTCAGCCATCCCCCCCCCCCCCCGATCTGCAATATGATATTTTAATCTTACTCTAAACTCCAGTTATGATCATCTGATTTACATTCTAGCACATCTATATAAGCACCAGCTGAACTAGCAACAGGTCGATTCCAACAATCTCTAATTCTTCTGTAAACATTTCGTGTATAAAAACTCTCCCAACTTTGAAATAGTGGAACAAAACCCTGAAAAATATACAAAACTTACATATTAGATATTGAGAAAAACTGTTAAATACGAGGTGGAAGTACATGTAATCTGTAAACTTGAATAAATAAAAAAAAGAATATATTTAACCGTATACGACAAAGTATCTACTTCCGCTACTTTACCGTATATCGTTTCTGATTGGCCAATTTGTATGATGATGTCATACCTTATTCAAAATGGCGGAAAGTACAGATGTTCTGAAAATAGGATATAAATTTGAACCCTAACCCTAACCCATTTTTCTAATCCATCAAAATGGGAATTACAATAGTGTGTTCTTAATTTATTTTCAAATTTGGGGATTAATACTGATTTTTAAGATAGCTGTATACAGGGTTAAATTCATCTCATATACGTCAAATAATCCAGGAACTGACCCTTGATGACACCACTATATTCCAACCAATCAGAAATGATGTACGGTAAAATAGCGGAAGTAGATACTCGTAAATAAAAAGATAAAAAGAGAAAAAAAGAGAGGGTTTAATGTCCATTCAACACAAACTAGGTAATTTTGGGACTAACATGGTTCAAATTTATTTCAATATTTCGCTTAAGCATAGGTTTTTTTATAGCAGTAGGAGCAAATTGGAGGACCCACAGAAAACCCACGTGGTTGGACAGGCGACCCAACACCTTGTCACGTTCAATCGGGAAAATGAAACCATGCCAGTTGACTCAATGACATACCTTTGTTAATACACAGGCACGCATTAAACCACTAGAGCCCCCCACCCCATCCCTCCACATTGAACAAATAAATATCTAAAGGTGGTCAGCTAAGACTGAAACGTCGAAACATTACGATTAAAAACAAATGATATCAACATAGCGTCTGTTCTTCTTGACGTTAGCAGATCCTTTACTTCGCTCACAATTAGTTATTATCGTACTACAGATCAATAAATAGTGTGGACTTCTAAATGTAAATAGGTCGACTAATGGATCTACTTAAAGAAACCCAATAAAAGTTTACGAGGTAACTACATGTAGTTCATGAATACTGATGGGATGGAGTGAAATAAGGTTAACGGTCTACCTTCCTGCACCTACTGGGCTAATGAAGACAGGCATACTGGTACGTCATGCAGTGAGTGTGTTATGATGGAAATTTTTGTCTGGACAACAGCCAATTCTAATTTGGTTGATTTATGTTCTTGTCAATGTGTACAAAGGTTTTTAGGTTTTTTTTATCCTATGGGAATGACTAGAGACTTTTTCTTCCAATGTGTACAAAGGTTCTTAGGTTTTTTTATCCTATTGGAATGACTAGAGACTTTTTCTTCCATCTATGTTTATGTAATTATGTATGTATATACAGTATGTATGTATGTACAATGTATGTATGTATATATTTATAATGTGTACATGTATCTAAATCAGAGAGAGGGGTTACACATACATGTAGACACAGCCAAATTCAAATTCAAATTTAATGAATATATTTAAAAAAAAAAAAAAGTTACAAGAGATGAAGGGAACTATAGCATAAAGGGGCATTATGGGAGATTTAGATAAAGAGCTCATAGTTCTTGCTATAATAGTTAAAAAATATGGCTCCATCATCATGACTAAGGTTGGTACAATAATAAACAAAGTCTCAATTATCCATTACAAAATGTATTTACTAAGTATCGCAGGCTAGTGATGGTTAATCAATGTCTAATTAATAATTTATATAATATTTAGTTTAATACGGGACCTCTGCTTTTTTATTGCCAGACTATCCGTATAGCACCATATTGGCAAGAGGAACTTTCTCTGCCAGCATCAGGATCGAAACCAAACCACCCTTGTGAATGAATAGAACTATAGCTTGAACAAACATATTTTTTTTTGTTTGATGTGCATTATGATCAGGCTCAAGTAAATAGAAGATACTATATATTAATGTTTTAATGTTTGCTACCATTTTATCCAATTTCTTGATACAAGTATCTTTATTTCTTTAACGGATCAAACAATTAAATAATAATATAATCAATCATTGATAGATGAAGCTTTCTACTCAACAAAACATCAAAGGATCATTGTTTATCCAAATTGGAAAAATATCCTCCAAGTTACAGTCAATAATAAAATCAATACAGAGAGAGAGAGGAAGAGAGAGAGAGGGGGGTTTAATGTCCACTCACACAAACTAGGTCATTTTGGGACTAACACATCGTTCAATTATATTTCAATAATCCCTCGTTCTTGTCACGTACATCCTGGGAATCGAAACCCCGTCAGTTGACTCAATAACAGACCTTACGATACTGCACGCAAGATCTAACCATTCGGCCATCATACCCCCCTCTTACCCCCCCCACCCACCGGGCAAAAAGCTTCTAAAGCCAATCTCAATTAGTCATTTCATTATGGTACTAAACTTAAAACTGATTATTGACATTGGTGTTGGAATTTGATCCAGATTAGGCCCTGGCACTGTTTTCCAGGCAAAATTTTCCTCATAGCACACTGTATGGCGTATGCCAGTTTTCATTACCCAGTCAGAGTAGAAAAGTAGGGTGTTAAACTCCATTTATTTTCATTACTATACATGTGTACTTAAAACTGGTGATGCAATACCCTTTTCTCTAGAAGTAAAATCTGTTCATGTTTAATGCAAGCGACCCCTAACCCCTATATAAAGGCTTAGGCCACATCCATTTGAATGTTTGTTCTTTAAGAACATCTCTACAACAATTGGCTTCCTATTTTGTGTAGTAAAAGATAGCCAGGCAAGGTGTGGAAATACACCCACACAGTAGCTTTTTATCACAAAATAAACGATAGCGTAGACAGGCGACCCTACTCCTTGTCACGTACAACCAGGTAATCGAAACCACGCACGTTGACTCAATGACAGACCTTATGATACAATGCGCACATGCTAATCATTCGGCCATCCAAACTGCACCCCATTCCGTTTCACTGAGTAAAAGACAGCCAGACAAAGTGTCGAAATACACCCACGCATCGGACATGCCGAAGCACTTTCCCCCCCCCCCCCTTTACAAATTAGAGCTCATGTACATGTACAGTACTAAAAATGTTTCCTTAGAAAACAAGCCAATTGTGAGGCTGATGTCCCTAGCTTAAATGTATCTCTGCTTAGCCTAAGCAGAAAATGATCATCTTCGAACTCCATCAAGGCATTCACCTAATAACCACCTACACCAAGTTTGAAAATTTTAGAAGGAAAATTATTGTGTCCCAAAAAGTGTGACGAACAGACCGATGCAAAGACAGACCCATTTTAATAATCCTCTGCTTTCGTTGACAGATGGGGTCAATAAAGTCATCATTATCACTTTTATTATACAGAACTAAAAATTAAACATACATTATGCAAGAGCTAAATCTGCCTATTGCAGGTCTTTCTTTAGGCCTGAAATGTTTTCTAAATTATTAATTAGAAATTAATTAACTTATCCAGGCCATAATCAACCCTTGATGGCATCGGATTTCTCGATATTAAATAGATTAGAACAGTTCAGCCATATTTTGATTTAAGCTAAAAATGGAGGAGTGAGACTTAGCTTCGAACAGCCAGTACAATTGAAAATATTGCACACGTCTTGTCAAACCTTCAAAGGCTAATATATCCGATCGCAACAGAAGAATTTGAATTAAAATTTCAAATTATTCATTTTACATTATTTATTTTCGAACTATTATAGCAAGAATGGCTAGCTCTTTATCTAAATCTTACATAATGTATCTTTAACAAGGTTAATTAGGAATACCCACGTGTTTGTGATGAGTGTTGGATTGAGGCACACAAACAATATTTAAACTAAAAATTAAATCTGTTTGGCCTTAGTTACTCTGCCTTTCATAAGATCATTCATAAGATATTCCATTAAAGTGTTTACTGAAGCATGACATAATAATATAGCCATTTATACTTTATCATTCAATCTCCTAGCTAGTAGCCCATAGACACAAATTTGACACAGTATGCAGGGTGAAAGCGATTGAGAATTTAAAGTTTTCTTTTGACCTATTTTCAAATGAACTTTAAATTTAATATTTAATATTTATCAGTACAATGTATATACCAGTACCCTAATCAGTGTTTATCACATTGCATATCATTAGCATATATACATATACCATATATGTTGTCAAGTTTTAAAATATCAATGAGACATTTATAACTCCATGGATTTTACTTCACACACAAGCTGATCTATATTTTTTTTTTTTTTTTTTATACTTTCGATGGCCTGCTGTACATGCAGATCTGACAAGTAAGAGTAGGAGTTCACCTCAGGGGTCAAACGAGCGGCTTTTGGCCCTATGACATTAATTAATCAATCAGCGTTGACGTCTCTAGTGATTTACCTACAATTCCGTGCATCAAAAGGCCAAGAATTCGTCGCAACAGACCGTTTCATTGGCTAATCCCTCACATAATCCAGAGCACGTCAATGATAACAACTCTTCCAGATTATAGTGTAGTAAAGACAAGTAAAACGAAATTTTGAACTATATAAAAATGAAACGAAATAGGATCTGTGTTTTAATTAGATTACTTCACACACTTTAAGGGGGGTTAGCACGTGCGCGCTGTATCATTAAGTCTGTCATTGAGTCAACTAAGTCTGTCATTGAGTCAACTGGCGTGGTTTCGAATCCCCGGTTGTACGTGACAAGAAGTAGGGTCGCCTGTCCAACCTCGTGGGTTTTCTCCGGGTCCTCCGGTTTCCTCCCACTGGTGAAGACCCCTACGCGCAAGCGAATTATTGAAATAAAATTAAACCATATGTTAGTCCCGAAATGACCTAGTTTGTGTCGAGTGGATGTTAAACCCCATCTCTCTCTCTCTGTCTCTCTCTCTCTTGGGTAAGGTTTTCGTTGTTCACCCGAGTCGACACCAGACCGTTCGCGTTTTGAATCGAGTTGGTCACATGACTGACTCGAGTCGCATCACGTGACTAACCCGTTTACTCCGTTGAGCGGAGAGTAAAAGGGTTTGTCACGTGAC